CGCAACGCCTACAACGGCCAGGATGTGGACTGGAGCGAGCATGGTAAGTGAACTGTGTGCAGTTGAGATATTAGTTGGGCTAATGTTTATCTAAATTGCAGAGGAACCCTATATGGGCAGCGGCGCTGGCTCCGGTTCGGGCTCCGAGGATGATGAAGACGATGACGAGGGCTCTGGCTTGGGTTCGTTTGAGCCCAGCCACAAGCCGGACGTGGAGCATCCGTCAGTGCGTGTAGACTCTGATAACGATGATGATGAGGATACAAATCCGTCCGTTACCACCCACACCTTGCGTCCCAATGTGGATGACAAGAATCCGCTGGTGCATAACACGCACGTGACCCACGATCATAATGATCTGGATGAGCCTAGCAATGGCGACGACGATGATGATGATGACACCGGCCACAACTCCTCAACAGACGGCGCCACGCGCACCTCCAATGCACCGGAGAAGATGACGCTGCGTCGGGCTCTGGTCGTCTATTTGCTGCCTCTTTATATGGCGTGGTTCGGTGGCGTCTGCGCCGATTTGCTGTGATTATTTAAAACGCTGCCCACAATGAAAGCAAAGCGAGCAAGCGAACAAGTGCAGCAGAGGTGGAACATATCACGCCCCATGTCCGCTGCACGCCCACACCTCTCAGTCATTCATCCATGAAACAAAAATGTTATTAGAACTTCTTTTATACGAAATGCAAGTCCAAAATTTTATAAAAACTTTTGTCAAAGCAATGAAAAAGCAATGAGAAAAAAAGAGACCCCCAGTTATGGACAACCCTTTCAAAACGCAACAAGTCGAAATCAAATCAAATCAAATCAATTCGATATCGGGATGCATCGAATATTGGAACCGACTTCAGAATTGCGAGCTTTGGAAACTGTTGCCCATCACTGTATAAAGAAAAGGAATACGTAACGAGTCCTCCCCCCATTTAGATGATTTAAGTCCAGTAACCTAAGTCGTAAGTGCGAAATTCTAATCTGTAAGCGTATGAATGCGTGTATGAATATGTTTGAATGTGTTTTTTGAGTGCCTGTGTGTGAGTGCCTGTTCATTGTGATCGTTTAGCAAAAATTAACTATAAACATTATAGGACGTATACTAAGCGAAACTTATATTTGTATTATATTTATACATATTCTATATATAAATATGTATACAAACATGCATATACGTAAAAGTTGCCAGCATATTTAAACCATTTAAATTAACAACAACAACAAGCATTAGCAGCAATAACTAATTTCTAACTGTACTGAACTGTAATCTAGAATCTTAGTTGACGTTTCCTTCTTTTAAAATCGATGATCAGATGCGTCGAAGCCCCAAGCTCTCTTGTAGTGGGCTATCCAGCAAAATATGTTATACAATATTATATTATGACGATTATATAATATAATATTATATATATAAATAAGTTATAAAGCCCCGGGACGCATCTAAAAAAAAAACAAAAGCAAATCGGTTTTCAAGCAATGGCATTTGTAAGCTAAGCAGATACAGCTTAAATATTTATGTATATTTATTTTTGATTTTTTTATAATTTTTAATAATTGTATTATTTTCATGTGTATGTATTAAAAAGAAATACAACAGTGAAAATTATTGAATACTTTTTCTAAAGGTAAACAAATTGACTTGATCCTAACTTTGAGGATTTATGCCTGTCAAATTAAAAATAGAGTTTAAATCCGTTTTGTTAGCAAAAGGCACATTTAAAATTTAATTTTGAAATATGCTACACTTAATCCACAGACGCGTTAAATACAATTTCTACAAATCGCGAACTCCAAATATTTAAATCGATTGCCTCAAAAGAAATATTCAGATTCTGATGATTGAGTTCTGGGAAGACCTGCAAATAAAGTAGCGCCAGTTAATAATCCGATTATTTCTTCTTCTATATAGATTTATGCACCTTATTCGGGCTGCGATCAAGGACAGTGTTGTGGAGGTGAAGAGTAAAAGGCGAGGATGCACTCCGCTTCTTTAACACTCTATCCAGGCATGTGGCACTCAGATCCAAAAACTGTTTGTCCAGCTGGCTACTAGATAAGTTTAGGACCTTTAAAGTCTCGCATGCGGCTACTATGTCCCACAGCTGTGTTGGTGTGGGCAATGCGCGCATTTTCATCAAATGCAATTCCTCCAATTGCGGCAGTCTGGCGCAAATGTTGTACAGCTCTTTCGTCCCAATATCATCATCGTACAACGCCAGACAACGCAGATTCGACATGCGCATAATCGCATCGCTTACACGAGAGCTGCTCCAGAAGGCATCGTTAAACAGCAGCGATTTCACCTTGAGCGGCCGTAACTTGGCCACAGTTAGAAGCAGCCCCTCGTAATAGTCACGGGTGTAGAAGGCCAGTCGACGGAACCTGGGCAGCTGCAGCAAGTTGGGCAGGAAAGCGCCCAGCAAGTGGTGATCGTCTATAACAAGCTCCTCTAGCGTAGCGCACTTAGAGACGGGCAGAACGCCCTCGCCGAGATTAACACTGTAACCATAAAATAGGAGCGTGAGTTTGCGTAATGGCATCGAGCTAAATATCTGCTCAAAGGTTGCCGTATCCAACGATTCGCAGCACATCAAATGCAACTCCTCGAGCTTGTCCCAAGTCCATAGATGCCTACCACTGGTGCTGCTCAGCAGCGTCAGTTTGGTCAAATGTGGAAACAGTTCAGTCAGCAACAAGGTCTCCTCGTCGGCCGCTTCTTGGCTGGTAAAGCACAAGTCACAGCTGAGGCTAACCAATTTGGGAAATCTATAAGATTTCCACGACTCTAGCAGGGCTCTACTGGCTTGTTTCAGTATCAAATGCTGCAGCGCTCCACTGGCGAGCTGCAGGAACTCCTGCATTTCATTTGGGTGCTGCTCAAAGTGCTCCAGAACATCACGGTCCAAGTAGGCCTCCTTGAGGTGCTGCCAATGATATCGGACAGTGCACTGCAGGCTCTTGGAAATTTGCGCCAGTGCAAGTTGATCGCTCAGCTTCACATACTTGAGAATGGTAAGCCAGCAATCTTCGTTGAGTTTGTCAAACATTAACACTTTTATAAATTTAAATACAATTTAACAAAAGCAGCTACAAATCGAATTAAACAGTGAGAGCCTACTAACAGCAACAAAATGTTAGGCTGCTGTAGGCAATCAGCTGATGGCACTGCTTGCCAGAATGTCAAGTGTTTACACTGCTTGCTCTAACAGCTATTATAAATGAGAAAAAGACAAATTATTTAATATTGAGTAACCTCTGTGGTTTCCAATACAAGACTTAACGCTTATAAAATAAGCAATAAGTTAAATCGCGCAAGAAATTCTTAATGATTAAGAGACATGATCACAAAAAGCTTAGGGCAAAGTATCGCATAGAAAATTTAATGCTCTTGTTCTATATGTTAACATCAAACTTAAGCCTTCTGTATTTGAATCGTATCATTTGACAAAACTTATGGGCATTCTGGATTTACAAAGGGACGAAAATGTAAATACGATCCGGTCTGCTAAAAATATTAACCAATATCACCAAATAGAAATTATTATAATTCTGTAAGTGCGGTAAGGCAACTTTGGTGGTATATCAATGGGAGGATATCAATCGGTTATCAATCGGGTATACTTAAAATATAGAAACAATCTCCATTAATCAGAAATTATTAAAATGGACTGGTTTTTGAGCCTCAATCTCTTTCGTAAAATTTAACATATAGCAGCAGAAACCGAGTTCTGTATAAAGAAATCTATATATTTCTAAAAGTTCTTATCAAACTTATTAATTATGTGCGTCCGCACAGTGTAAATTAACGAATGTGTCATATTTGTTTAAATTTAATCCTGAACAAAGGCAAATTTACCAATCATTTTAATACAAGAGTATAAAAAGGGAACCAAACTCAGTTTTAGTAACATTATAAAAATTCTTTTCAAAGTGTACAGATATGTTTTCCATAATATTGTCCGTAATATTTGGTAGCTTATTGCTACAAATGGGGTATTCTTCAATGGAAGGTAATATAGATTAGATAAAGTGAAGTTTAAAGTTGGTAATTGCAAGATTTGTTTTCCATTTCCAAGGAACAAGTACGCACATTAGCCACCAAATTGGTATTTCCAATGGCTTTGATACGGAAACGGAACCATTCACAAGAATTGGTGATAAATATTACTACATTGAGAAGAATAACACTGTAAATTGGTTTGAAGCAACTGTTAAGTGTCACCAAATGGGTGGAAATCTCGTTAATTTTCAAAGCTCTGAGGATTTAAAGGCCATTTCAAATGAGTTGAATAGCTCTGAATTTTATTGGATTGATTTAACAGATCTTATTGAGAAAAATGTATTTCAACTGGTCTTAGTAAAAGTACCCATCTTATGGGGGACTATGGCGAGCCCAATAATATGAATAACAATGAACATTGTGCTTATATATTTTTCAATGTTAAACTTGTTATAAATGATTACAACTGTGCGGGGAGGTTTTTATTTATTTGCGAATCAAATGCTCCCGTCACAGTTACAATTGTTAATTGGTAATTTTATTATGATCAGAAAATGTTGATAATAAAACTATTTCAAAATCAATTTCTAAACATGTTGGTAAAGAAATGAAAAGCTCGAATGATTGCATACATATTAATACACATACACACATACTATATTATGACTTTTGATTAAAGCTTGAGTCATTTGTTAAGTATTGCCAGTGCAGACTAATTTTTCATAGATTTACAATAGGTAAAAAACATTATTTACTTTCAATGACTTATGTCAAGAGTTTGTCGACTGATTATATTTCCGAAAATGAATGAATTTCCACTTTAAATGAATAGTGCTTGTTTTCCTAGACTGAAGGCTTAGTTTCTCTGCTTCACTATTCGCCTATGAAATGCAACAAGCTGGTTGCCAACCCCGGCAAATCATTCTATACTTCAAGTATATTTAAAGTCGATTGCTCTGAAAATAAGTTAGTGACTGTTGTGCAACTGCATTGCGAGTATCAATTTGAAATTGACTCGAAATGGACCCAAAACTGTTAGTGCTGGCGGTTTATTGTTATTTGTTGCAAGGCAACACTCGGGCATCCTCGTTCTCTCATAGAATAGGTAACGCACAACGCATTTCATGGAAATAAAGTAACATTTATAAACAAATTGACTTTATTTAGGAAATCTTACCAATATAAGCCAAGTGCATGAGATCTTAAATGACTTTTATGCAGACACGGGACCTTTTAAAAGGATACTTTCCAAATATTATTATATTGAGGCAAAGAGAAAAGTCAACTGGTTTATGGCTGTGCACAAGTGTCGTGAACTGGGTGCCCATTTGATTAGTTTACGAAATGCGCAAGAGTTTGATGAAGTGATACGAGCATTAAATATAAGGAACTGCTATTGGACGGATCTAACTGATCTCGCGGAGCAGTCCAAGTACATGTCAATGACCACAGGTCTTGCTGCGAGCTACCTTAGATGGGGCCGTCTTGAACCAAATAACTTGGGTCAAAATGAACACTGCGTCCAGCTGATCGCATACGATAAAAAAAGGTTAATCATGAATGACAATCAGTGCACTCGGCGATGCCACTTTATTTGCGAAACAAATTTGCCCAGCCAAACAAATATTGTGATTCAACAACCCAATTTATAGATTCGCATAACTTAAAAGCATTTGTATACAAAACACAGATGCAATGTACACTACTTAAAACCTTCAAACGAAGTAAGCAAGAACCACTTCTGACTCAAGCACGTAGCACGTGATTTTGGCCCTTATTATTTCTTATTTATTTATAAATGTAATCTCGATTTTAATAAATAAATAACATAGCAGTGGAAACTAATGAGGATTAATAAATGAGGCTTCTACTTTTCTAAAAAATGCATAGTTACATTTTTAACATTTAGAGTGCCACCGATTCTTATATAACATATAAAAATGTATATCTAATATATATATAGGGTGTTTCAGTATAGGATATGAATACATCCCTCAAGTTCCAAGGATGTGCGTTGATCATCAATCAATCAGTCTGCTAGGTATATTTTACTTTTAATCACAATATCTTTCTTTAAAGCAACCTTTTACAAAAAAAATATATATATATATATATATAAAAATACTTGCTTCAATCGCAATTATTGAAAATCGCATTTCGTATCTGCTGTACTGACAGATTCACTCTACTACTTACTAGGTCGGTTTTTTTAGAGTTGAATATTTGGGCCACCAGTTTAATGATCGATAAAGCAGTGCACATATATGTAAGCTTAACACTTTTAATATTAATGGCAAGCGGTCCATTCACTCTACCTTGTCTGCTATGTTGGGTTGACTATTTAAGCCACCAGTTTAAATGTCGATAAGGTAGTGCACACCTAAGCAATCCATTTAAGTACGGCAACCGTTCTGTAGATGGCGCTTTAATGCTATAATGGTCAATAACGAGCTTTAAATTTCTTTAAAAGCCTAAAATAAGTTTATGCCCTCAAATAGATGAGATTGAGATGTGTTTTACATTTTCAACCTGTGACAACATTTATTAAAACGTTTCCTGAGTGGGGAGATGCTTTGCTTTAGCAGTTTGTTGTAAATAATAATTTAAAATGTCATGACATTTGAGTATGAAATCGTGTTGGGGTTTGCTGCAAAGTATATTGTATCGTCGATCCATTTAACTAGTCATCTTGTATGTCTAGATAGATTTTCTCGAGATTGTCAGTCACGTCATCAATCTGAGCAACATTATCTGCAGCATCTAGATCCAAATTATCTGTTGCCGCAATATCAGTATCATCGTCAAAGCCTTCTTCATCTCCCACTTCATCGCTGAGGTCTGCGTCCAGTTCCTGATCATCTGTGGCGCACTTGCCGTTCAGCTGATTCAGCGTGGACTCCAGCTTATTGGCCCGGTCTAGCAGCAAACCCAAGCGCTTGTCAATCTCACTAAAAATATCCGGCTCCGGCTTGGAGGTTGTGGGCTGTTCCGCATCACCAATATCTTCCTGTTTCTGTTTGTCCCCAGACTCAGCCATTTCGTTTGTATTATCTGAAGACATTGCTCCAACGAATTTAATATATATCTATATACAGTTGCTCAAGAATAAATTTCAGTTAATTTGCTAATGTTTTACGTAAATAAATATATGTCAGACTGTGCATAACGACGAAATTGACTACCCAAAACAAATCTCCCTGGGCCTACTGGGCTTGCCAGAGAGGAGTTTTATCATTTGGCCAATTAACTCCGTCGTGCAGCGTCAACAGCAACAACAACAACAACAACAAAGACATCAGCTGAGCAGCACCCGAGACGATTCTCTGACGGAAACAATCTCTGGGAGCGATCGACGCATGGCGGCGCCTTTTTTTAGTGAGCGCGCGAGCGGCAAACTGTAAACAACAGCTGCTGGCAGCGAGAAAATACGAAAAGCAAGAAAATCACCGCGTCAAAGCCGAAACGAACGAAAATTACAAAACGTTGCCAACGTTTTTAACGTTGCCGCAAGCTGCTGCTAAGGCCAAGAGACCTGGAAGACGTCAGCACATGCTGATGCCAGTAGCTGCAGTAGAGTAGAGTAGTGCACAGATGTATCTTGCGGATGCGCGAATCTTTTGCACGGCGACAGATAGAATAATTACGCAAGTGAGTCAAATTACGCAAAGTGTGCAAAAAGCGCGAAGTGAAGTGTGGAAATGGACAAAACTCTTCGCTGCAATTGATGATGTGTGTCTTTCTCTCAAAGCCAGTTACCGCCGATTGGAAAAATGAGTACCAGAGAGCGAGAGAGAGAGAGAGAAGAATACCTTTTCGTTGTTCTTATCAGTGATATTATCTGTGCCGTGTTCCTCTAAATTTTGCAAGGCGCAAAACTGTGATTCACATTCTATGAAAATATTAAAAGCAAACATGTGGAATGAGTTTACTTAGAGCATGATGAGTATTTTGTTTGTGTCTTCTGCTGCTGCTTCAACCTGCCACTTGGCCAACTTCACTTTTGACTGTTTCGAGTCTTTTGCTGTTGCTCTTCATGTTTAGTATGAACGTTAGATGTCTCTCCCATAAGTCTCTATATACTCACAGCTGTTTTAAGGTGAAACCAGTTTCTTACATCAACGTTATTTGTTTTTCTTGTATTTTTGGCAGCATAAACACACATACCAAGTCGAAAAATCAAATGTGAACATTTATTAAGTTAGTATATACGGGCAACGTGCAACTAGCTTTTTTATATGTGTGTGTGTTTGGTTGCAACAAAAGGCGAAATTCGTAAAGTCCGCTTCGAAAAGGTTGCACAATTTGCTTACCGCGAGTGTACACAAATAATGGAGGTTGCAGTACATGAAGTTTGTGGTATTGCGGCAAATAAAACATCTTTAATTTAGCTTATAAAATAAAGTGTGTTTAGATTAGGAAAAAATACGGAGAATGCCCAGCAAAAACATAATTTGAAATATTTATTTACCTTCGGAGTAAGCAGTGGATAAAGCAGTGCTTTTCTTCCCTCAAGCAGTATTTTTCTTTAGCAGTATACTGCTTTACATGTTTCAGTCAGTAGTATTTAAACATAAAGTCTAGTCGAGAATGCCCCACTCATTATACCCTGTACCTAGAGCGAGCTGTGAAAGATAATTAACGCACGTTTTGTTTTTGGGTAACAAAATAAATATGTGTAGCTGTGACTTATGATACGATGTTCGCCGAAAAAATAATAGATTCATTTGAATCAACCTAAATTATGGATTCCTAATAATCTAGTTCTGTTTGTAATACCCTGTAGCTCTTGAAATGGATTTTAGTCCTCCTAGCATCCCCTAGCCTATCCGCAAATCTTGTTGCTCTTATAGGCAAACAACGTTCTGTAGCGTATTTAAGGTTCGGCTTTCCGGCCGGATTTCGGTTCATTTTACTTGCCAGGGAAACACCTTCAGGTTAACCTACTTCAATATTAATTTTATTCAGTTGTTTTGTATGGTTTTCTTTTATATAAAAGTACAAAATATGCATAGCAATAAGACTATATGTAGAAGTATAACTAAGCTGAAATGGAATACGCATGCCTAGTAATCCTCGTCGCAAAAGCAGCCATCCCGTGAGTTCTCCACAATCCAGTCGAGATATTTGGTGACCCTTGTATAGACACCCGGATAACTTGGTCGCGCGCATCCATTGCCCCAGGAGACAATGCCGATCTGTTCGAAGCGCTTGTCGTCGGGACGCAAACGCACCAGAGGACCACCAGAGTCGCCCTGACAGCTGTCCCGGCCACCAACCCCCGGATAGCCAGAGCACATCATATTCTTGGTGATCATTTTTTGTGTATAGTTCGTTTGGGCTACGCACTCATCGTTGTCGAGTACTGGCACCTCCACCTCCTGCAGCAGGCAGGAGGGTTTGCCATCCTCCTTGAGCGTGCCCCAGCCGGTGGCAATGGCGCGCGTGCCCACGAACAAATCGTTGCGCTGCTCCACACGGGGCAAGCAAATGGGTCTGATGAAGCTGGTGATCGGCACGCGATCGTTGAGACGGAGTAGCGCAATATCATTGTCAAAGTTGGAGAAACTGAACTTCTGACTGAAGGCGCGCAGCACAAAGCGCGTTTCCGGGCGCTCCTTGTCATTGCATCGGTCATGCTCACCGAACGTCACCTTGATCATGAACCACATGAAGCCCTTGACGCAGTGCGCCGCCGTCAGCACATAGCGATCGTTGATCAGCGTGCCACCGCAGTAGAATCGATTGAAGTAGCTCAGTCTGGCCATCCAGGGATACTCGCTGACGCCAGCTGTAGTGCCCCCAACGATTCTCGACTCATCATTGCGCTCCCCACATCTGCAAAAGTGGCAATAGTGAGCGGGCTTTAGTAATAATTGATTGTCATCCACTTTATCATGCATAACAAGTAAAAGCTTTGCAGTCGGATGCAACCGAATAAGCAATACTCTTTTCATGGTATAACTAACTTAGACGAGTTGGCGAAAGTATATTAATTTCTAAATTTCTATCGTATCGATAAGTATAAACAGACACAACCAGAATGTTCTATGAAAGCAAGCGAAATACAGTACATTGCGATTCTGCAAATTTACATAATTTCCGACCTTGTAAGACCTACATATTCTTGATCAACATCAAAAGATATGCCTATATTATATATATATTATTTAATACTATGCTATATACTAAACTATAAAAGCTTAATGCATGAAGTTAGTATATGTTTTGAATACCGTAATAAGATCAAGGTTAACATGCCGCAGATTTTATTAAAACTATATAATATGCATCGATTAATAATATTTCACTTGTTCAATAGCCCCTTTAAAAATTTTTTTGAGCTATCTTTATGTCTTGTGCCACAACTAAATTCACATAGCTTCAGATTAAACAGCTGCTTAAAATAATTATCCATGGCCAGTTTATTGAATGATAATCTTCGTTGATTAGTTCAGAGTTCAACAACCCACAAGCTTAACAATCTTTATTAATACTGTCATAAAGAAAGTGTCACAGTGTTTTATGACCGTATGCAAACGTTTCGCAGATTTTCCAACATATTTATAAAGACATCGTTACATTAAACTGGTTTATAATTGCCAAAAACCAAAGAAACTGCATTCAAAAATGATTCAGAAGCAGAGAGAATGAGAGAGAAAGAGAGGGGAAGAGAGAAAAAGAGAGAGAAAGAAAAGAGGGAGAGAAAGAGAGAGAGAGAAACGATTTACAAAGGAAAGCACAACCTGTTCTCTATATTTTGGTCTTATATACTAAATAATTTTATTTTGGTCACAAATCAATCGACGGCTCTCAGAAACAACAAAAAAAAACGGCAATAAGAATCAAACACAGAGAGCTTCGGCTTGATATTCTTTTTTGTTGTTAATCGAGTCATTGCCCCAACAATGGTGGCCAAGGCAAAGTCGAAGGCGTCCCGAAACCAGCAACACGCAAAAACAAAGACTGTAAAATGTGCGACCCAATTCAAAGAATACGGCGTCCCCCCTAAAAACTGACACAAAAATATGACGCATTGAGCCAAGCCTAATTACACCTTATAAATAAAACCACACATATGGCTGGTTCCAATACACCAGAATATGAACAGACTTCACATACAAACACAGATAAAGATATACAGATAAAAATATAGATAAAGATACGGGTACAGGTACAGAAAGAGAATACAGATACTGTAACAGATACAGATACAAATATCTGTACTAAGATACTGAAATAGATAGGTAGATAAAGATAAAGATTAAGATAAAGATAAAGATAAAGATAAGGATAAAGATACAGATACAGATACAAATACAGATACAGATACAGATACAGATACAAATACAGATACAGATACAGATACAGATACAGATACAGATACAGATACAGATACAGATACAGATACAGATACAGATACAGATACAGATACAGATACAGATACAGATACAGATACAGATACAGATACAGATACACAGATACACAGATACACAGATACACAGATACACAGATACACAGATACACAGATACATAAACAGATACACAGATACACAGATACACAGATACACAGATACACAGATACACAGATACACAGATACACAGATACACAGATACACAGATACACAGATACACAGATACACAGATACACAGATACACAGATACACAGATACACATATACACAGATACACAGATACACAGATACATAGATACATAGATACATAGATACATAGATACACAGACACACAGATACATACACAGATACACAGATACACAGATACAGATACAGATACACAGATACGGGGACAGGTTCAAAAGCAGATACAGGTACAGATACACAGATACGGGTACAGATACAGATAATGGTAAACAGTTACAAATGCAGATAAAGGTAAACAGATTCAGATACAGATAGAGATGCAGATGATACAGACATACATGTTTAAAGCACAAGCTACACAGCGACTGTTATCAAAACTTATGCAAATCAGCCCCATTTCATTTAAAATGCAAAAAAAAGTAAAAATTAAGATAAAATACAAAAGTAAGAACTAAACGGGTTTTAGGTTTTTAAGCCCAAAGTCTTATAAGCTGCTAAAGAAGACTTTTTCAAACTGGCCGAGACATGTTCTTCTTCAAACTAAATTTGCTTTTATACGTAAAAGAAAACTTTTCAATAAATTACAGCTTACAGCTTGGGGCTCACTGGCATCTGCTCCATTTTCTGCGAATGGAAATAAAAGTGAAAATCGAACACACTCCCTTTAAGATAGAAGAAAAGCCTCGTGCATAGGAACTGACCTAACCTAATTCGATCTAGTCAGCTTTGTTGGAATGCGCATCGAACGAAGCTCGGCTGATCATTAAAATTCCTAAGCGGGGAGTGCCGACAAAAACATTCCTCAGAACTCCCTGAAGTGTCTGCACTTATGCAAACAGTTTCTACTTCATCAATACCCACGGGTACTTGACAATGCCGAAGGCCCGAGCAACTCCCCATTGGCAATTCAACAGCCACAGGCAATGCAAGTTGTAGAAGGCAGCTCAGGAATGCTTTTCAAATCCACATCTTCAGAGTCTATCACTGAGCAGCTGAGACTGAGTAGCTTAGCCACAGCTTAGTCTCTTAATTTGACTAAGTTCGAAAATGGGAAAACTTCTCGCCAAATGTTAAGTGTGATGCGTGAAATTGTTAAGTAATTTTTGTGGAAAGCCATAAAGGCATTTATTTTGAATGCCAGAACTTTTCTGTGGTTCTTCTTTTACTTAACTCACAAAGAAATGAATGTCGAACTGTTTATAGATTCATATATAAAGAAAGTTAAAGTAAATATCTTTACGGGCTAAATCCGAAAGAAGTCTGAGTTTTATTATTTTTCCTCCTCTTTTTGCCACTCACAGCTGAATTCCTTTCATAATGGGCCACTTTTCATACCTTTAGCGTCACGTATGCAATGCATGTGCAACAATATGGAAAGCTTAACGCCTTCATAAATAATGATATGAAATGCCAGCGAAAATCGTTCTCTTATTTTGTGGGTCAAAAGATCGAACAAAATTGATCGCGTGCAGCGTGTGTGTAAATGTATCTGACTCTGTGTCTGTATTTGTATCTTTAACTGTACGTGCGATTTGTATGCCGTGACAATGACACCCAATAAAATGCGGTTATCGTGTGGTTGGGTAACTAACTTGGCTAACTGGATGTTGGCTATCATGACCATGACAGCTTTTTGTGTACCCACCTGCAGGAACATGTCGCTGTTTGGTCTTGAGCCGGCGGCGAATTATTACGATTAAAGACGCCAAACCAATTCTTGATAGGATTTTGCCGGAACTGGTTTACTGGCTTATTGCCAGTGGCATCCACGCCGCTGGAGTTGCCCGCGGCTCCAATGCCAGCGCGCAGCTTCTTCGGCTGATGCTGACTGCCATATGCCTGATATTTGCCCGGTATGGAGGATGCTGTGGCTGTTGTTGTAGATCTTCTTGTTGGCGTGCTTGCTGCTGCTGCTGTTGTTGTTGTTGTTGTTGTTGTGAAGCTCGTTGAGGCGGCGACAATGCAGGAAGTGATGGTCAATGCTAATGGCCAGTGATGTAAGTGGAGCAGCAGCATCTTCAACAGGTTGGCCAACGATTTGTTGTCGCTCCCAGTCAATGATAGCTTAATGAGCCAGTTAAACTGTTGCGTCTGTGCGTCTTGTTACCGTTAGAATGTTTTCTTGATATTTCGTGACTGTTTTCTTTATTTATTTTTGTTAATTTTTACACTACACTTATTAATTATGATAATCACATGCATTCAATTCGTTTTGTATGAACTATTTCTCACATTTCACACTCGTTCAGCGTTCAGTATAATTCAAACTGTCAACAAGTTGCGCCCAAATGTAAAATATTTTCGATTCTTTCTCTCTTTATTTTTTATTCTATTTATCTTTTAGTCTCTTTTAGTCTCGTTTCTACGACCGCACACGCGAAAGTCTGCAAACTGACTGATACCAGCGAATGGCCCGACGAGCTGCTGGCCAAGCCAAAGTTGCGCATGCGCCTGCTGTGTGCTGCGACGTCGCTGTCAGCGTCGCTGTCAGCGTCAGCGTTAGCGTTGCCGTCGATGTCGACGTCGACGTAAACGTCAACGTCAACTCAGCCGCTTGACTAGCAAACAACAACGACCAAGTCGCATTTTTGTTGGCCCGTTGCGTTCTCAATATGCTAATGTGACAGTTTGCCATGGTGTGGCCGCGGCTCCTCTGGGTGAGAGTCTCCCGTGTGTGTGCGCGTGGAGCACTGTCTCTGGGGCTTTTCCTGGCCCTCCGCCTGGGCCTGGGCCTGGGTCTGGGTCTGGGCCTGGCGGCATCAATTTATCGTTTGTTTATTATGCCCACAACGTCAATACACCGTGAGAATTTAAATTAATTTAAATGTTTGTCGCATATGGCAACAGATATTCTTGATAACCCACATAATTAGCATTTCCTGAGCCAAGAAATCTTAGAGCTAGCTGTTTGGAAGGGGTTTTAAAAAGCTTCTCGCTATTCCAGTTGACACACATAGAAATATTATTAATCTAGGCTTTAGTTATGCAGCTAATCACACATTATTCATGCCCAAAAAGTAGTTGGCCTAATTGCATTTATGTGATAAAAAAAAGACAGAAAAACATGTGATTAAAAAATTGAACATTTATGTACATGAATAACAAGTTTCTATGGGGAAAACCCAGAGCTTGCATCAGTTTTAATTGATTATGAATTAATTATAAAAAAATAATGTTCAATTTTCTTTTTTACATTGCAAACGAAGAGTTTCATTCTGAATGCAGTGCCACTCGGTATTTATTCTCGGCTATATGGTTATATCGACTTGGTAGTTCCGAACCAAAATATCAAGAATGTATCCACAGTTGCCCAATTTTATTATTACCTTCTTATACAGGCGGAACGATGCAGATCCGACCCCATAAAGATTGCATATTCTTAGTCAATATTACCAGCCGAGTCGATTAAACCACGTGCATGTCTAAACTGTCAGTTAAATGCGTCGAACTTAGTGACTATAAGAGTCAGAGACTAGACACTTTAAACGTAGATCTTCACAGCTCATCGATATCTCGAACCGATCGATAAAACTAGATATAGAAATAATGTTTCTTGACTTTTTATCAGAGCTTATTAGAGCCATAGGCAGGAAAGTATACTCCCGTATACTTTTTAGTTACTTTCCCCCAATGCTCCCAAAATGGGTTTTGCTATTTACACACTTCTGTATGTCAGCTAATCAAGACAGCAGAAGCTGCTCAGCTTGCTCCACTTCTTGTGAACGGTAGCTCGGCACAATGTACAGCGTATATTCTAGTCGGGTACACCCAACTAAAGTAATCCCACTTGATATTTTTCCGTTAGGCTTAAAAACTATGTTATACTTTAGTTGAAGCAGTGGGTAGAAAATAAGTATTTGAATATTATTATCGGTATATGAAACCTCCTCCGCTGTGCAGTAGTCAGATTAAAGTACTGTCACCATAACAATGACATTCCCTTATAAACTCGTTAACCTTTGTCATCACATAAGGGCCTCAAAGCGCTCATTTGTACCTTTTATGTTTTCCGACGCTTTTCACTTGCATGCCAAGGCCCCAAAGGCAAAAAGAAAATACGAAAAAAAAAACAAACAAACCGAGTAAAATTCGCATTTTCATGTTCATTTGCCGCTGCTGACGTTTTGTTTTATGTTTTTTTATTTTTATTTTGTGAGACATGAATTAACAAAATTTTGAACCGGATAATTTAACATTTCGCGTTTAATTGATGAATGGCAGGGGCGGGGAATCGAGAGCTGACTGCGGCGACATGAAATGCAAATTACTGTAATTTTAATGTTTGATGTTACAATTTTTGATCTATTAGTGTTCACAAAAATATATAAAAATAAATGAAAACTGTTGGGAGTACAACCTATTTTATCTCATAAAGATCTGTTCCCACAAGAATTAGGAAAATTGGATTTATTCAAAACTATGATAGTTTAAAAAAGACTAACAACACTGCGAAATAGTATAATGTGTTATTGTATATTTCCGAAATAATGGAAAAGTTTTTTATTACCAAAATACTTTCCTATAGATGTGATCTCTTCCTGAAATTTACTTCGCAATGGCGAATATCTGTTAAGGCTAATGAAACTCTTTGCTAACTCTCATTCTCCGGTTAATTATAGATACATATGTATATAGGTTTCGAGAACTAGCGGATGCATCTTAAGTTCGCTTGAATTCATTTTCAGTGTAGATGAAATCTTTACACACCAGCTGATTTTGGATTCAGATTATAACATTTTCTATGCTATGACTACCCAGGGCATCGGCAGTCTGCAGCATGGCTCATTTCCCCCGACTTTCCATGGCATGTTGTAGGTCCATTCTTTGCCCATTTCCCATTTATCGTATCGTACTTAGTTATGGTATACGCCATAGAGTCAACAATCCATGTTAAAAACCTGGCGCGCCTATCGAATTTCCTAATTAATTAATTCAGTACATGCAAATTTTCGCCCACTTCTCGTTGCAGATACAAATACAAAATAAACGTAATTGGTAACTACGCTAGTCGGAAAACTCAGAAGTGCATAAAGCGAATCTCTAGCGGCATCGGCAGCGCCATCAAGCTGAGCAACATGCCAACTGTAAACAACGGCTCTGGCACGACAACACCCATTGCATAACTGGGAATCAAGAGTATTATCATTATTTACTTCTAACATGAGTGCTGCCTTGCTCGATATGACGGCTGCGCAGTCAACCAGCGTGGCGACCGCGGCGACTGCCTCCGATGCGCGGCTCAGTGCACGACAGAAGGCGAATAAGCGACGCAGCTACGGCGGACGCACTGCAGCCACGGCTGCCATACATGGACTTGGCCGCAGCAGCATTGCCAGCGTCGGCGCCGGCCTCTATAAATCATTTCGCGAGCGTTTCGGCGGCGGCGGCGGCGTCAGCGACTATCGAGCGCTGCGACAACGCGATGCGGAAGCGGGCAATATGCAGAAAGAGTTGGCCTCAAGTGACAGCTCCGATGAGGAGAGTCTGCAAAGTAGCGGGAGCGACGGCGACAGCAGCAGCGCTGAGGATATATTTACCGCTAAGCCAGAGCGCAGACAGGGGCGCAGAAAGAAACCAGAGCCCAGGGCGAGAAGAAGAAGAAGAAGAAGGGTAAGTGCGTAAGTCTCGTCTTTTGGACCCTTGCAACGGGAAACAGCTTTCCATTTCACAGACATAGCCCTAGTTAAGTATTCCGATCAGTTTGGCGCGTGACTTGACGAAACTCGTCTGTGCTTGTAATTTATGACGCGAATTGGGCTCAAATTGCACGAGCTTGGACTTAATTGAACTTGCTGTACTTTATTTAATTTGCATACGTTCGCTGCGTTTGATAATTGCATTTAAATTTAACCATTGTTTCAATTAGATGTTTTTACGCTCTAATTCAATTGGAGCGCATTTCGCTTTCATTTTCTACTGCTGTGTCAATCGTTTTAATTTGTATAGGTCAGTGCTAGTTTGGGTTAGATCACATATTTTAGAAGTAAATTTAGCACAGTTATACAATAAATAAATTAGTTTAGCTAACCTTCAGATTATAGTAAAGTTAACATATATACATATATGACAAATGGCTTCAAACTGAAGTTCATTCCAGGTCTTAGAGCACAGTGAAATATATAGAACTATATTTCAAATTTGCTATATACATATATATTCTTTTATAGCTGCTGCTTGTATTTCTTTTTAATCGATTTAAATCAACTTTCGAATGCTTTCACTCCACTGTGCCACGCAACAACAAACAGCTGTAGCCGAGCTTTCAACTTGTTTACAAACAAACGTAATGCAAGTAAAAAGCTTTGGCACGTGGCTGCCCAACAGCCCATTGAGTATGAAAGAACACTCAATGCTTATCACTCAAAGGCCCAACAGCTGACAGCTCTCCTAGACGAGTCGCTCTCTACACACTCTCTCTCCCTCTCTGTCTCTCACTCACTCACTCATTCACTCACTCACTTTTGTTCTCTGTGCCTTTGAGCGCTGTGGCTCGCTCTTTATGGCCGTTGTGGCATTGGCCATGGGCAGCAAGACGCCTGCTGGCAGAGTTTTGTGGTCGGGAAACCTTATTGACTTAAATCTCGACCAAACCTGTGCAGCTGCATAATTTTTTTTCTTTCTCTATTTTTTAACATTTTATGCTCCAATGGACTTTAAAAATGTGCGCTGCTTAAAGTTGAGAGCGGGTCCGTTTTGAATTGTATTTCTGTTTTGTTGTTACTTTTTGGCTATGTCTCTTTTGGCTGATACTGCTAACTTGGCTTGTTTAGTTTTATTTCTATTCCCCCGTCTATTTGTTCCATTTTCTGTGTACTCTTCGCTGGTTGGCACCGCTTGACTGCACAAACTCAAATAAGCGGCAACGGCGTTTATCCTAAAATGATATTTCTTTTGGTTTTTTAACAATATTTTTTTTATTGTTGTTCCGCTGCGGTTGTGCGGTTGTGGGAGCTATTCATTCATATAGAAACGTGCTCGAGGCAGTAGCAGAGACAATTCCTTAATGCCGGAAGTAGTGCTCCTTTTGGCCAAAAAATTGTGCGACTCTGTGTCGCCCGTATATGCAATCAACAGACCTAAATCTCTGTTGGGGAACTTGGCTGGCGCACTGGAATTTTTTTTTATATGCTTTGGCAACATCAAATTAACAGTAATGGCCGACTATAAAGGCCCAACTTCTACCTATATAAGTTCCACCCCGTCGCCCACATGTGTTAGCTCCCGCCACAAGCACACCATGTAACAGGCGTAAATGTGCAAGTTTTCAATGATTTATGCATGATACTTAATGCCTTCTTAATTACGTTTTATGTAACCCCCGACCCCTCTGCCTCCCTCTACCCCTAGAAAATTATACATATTCTGTTCAAAAGCAGCGCCAGCAAACAAAAAATGCCAGCTGGAGCGCTTTCAGCTCACAAATCATATTCAAAGGAGCAGCCAAAACAAAAACCAACAAAAAAATTATACCCGAAATTTGTAGCAGATGCTTTAAGGGGCGATGAGGCGCCACTTTCACTTATACTTTCACTGCGTGCTTCCAGGCGGCGGTACGTGGCATTGGGCTATACAAAAATCCATTTTGGGACTGAGTCTTGTGTATGACAGGATAAATACATATATAGGGGGGGACAGTGAAAAGAACGTTTCCCCACCTATTGGCCCCCAGTTTCATCCGGCCTGCAGTGCATTGAATGTGTGACCAAAATACAGTTAGACATGTATTCACGGATTGCCCATTGTCTCCTGTGGATATGCGTCAGCTGGAATGTCGAGGCAACCCCCAGAGAAGACCATATGAAATAGCTGCTATAGTTGAATGCGCAAAGCAAAGGTTAAATCTCAGTTACGTGATGTTTTTATACATTAGCTTAACTTGTGTATGCCATTTAAATCAATTATAAAGTGAGTGAGATCTTGACAAATCAGCCAAAGGACCTGCTGCTTGTGCGTACAGTACGGCCTGGTCATGGGTGAACTTGTATTAATACTAACAATTCAAAAGGGATAATCAGATAACGTCCTATATAATACACAAATTCCCCATAAATAATAGATTGTCAATTGCAGAATAATAATAGAAATATCTCTCGACTTGAAAGTTATTTTCAGCAGCTATGCCAACATCTGCAAATAAGGAGAAATTAGAGTAGCTTTTGTCTGAATTGTGCCCCTTTCAGCCAGTTAACAATGTCAGTTGCGGCCGATGTGACCCAGTTTGTTAGCCAACTACGACAATGGTCTTTACAGGTAGAACTGTTTTGGCAACGAACCAGAAGGACAACCAATCGCTCTCGGGCACACAGTTTGTTGTTGTACCGTGTGAAACGCGCATGTTAAACAAATTAAACATATGGGATCCAGCAAGATGAGAAACATCAGCAGCAGGCACTATGAAAAACGAATAGCGAAAATCCCTTTTCATTCAACTGAAACGAGACGGCCTCGACCCACGCAGCTATTGTATCCGAGCCAGTCGGACTTTGTATTCAGTCAGAGTCATGTTGTTTGCATTTAACACGCGGCCACGTTTTCATGTTTCTGGTTTTGGCCAGTCGATTACTTTTGGGCGGCTTCGCAGAATTAGAGCTTTTCCCAAGCAGGCGTGTGAAAAATGCAAATTTGTTGTTTTACTGCGGCCCATCATTTTTGGCCATGGCCCTAGCTGAAGCCAAGACCCAATGAAGGTCAACAATATTTTTACAATTTACAAAAATAATTGTTTCTGACAAGTGGAATATTTCTGCTCGTTGTCGTAGTTAATTTTTCAACTAGTTGTCGAGAGTTTTGGAAACGTCGCTGGGAACGCTGGACAAAAAGTTTTATGAATGGCACCAAGTTTTTAATTGAAATACCTAAGTAAAAGCACGAGAGGACAAAGTTAGGCCTGCCATTGGTTATCCTTGGCAGTGAATTATGCATTTTGTTTAAGTTTACGGATAAGGTCCAAGCAGCTGACAAAAATTATGAAATATGTTTTAAATATTATTTGACTCGCGGAGTGCAAAAATTAAAAATAAAACTTTTTAGCTCAAAAATTGCACACAAAGGATTTCAATGCCTTTTCCCATCTGTGCAATTATTTTTGCTGCTTTGAATAATTTTGACAATAACTAGACTCACATTTATCTAGCCTTTCTGCTTAGGGAATGGATTTAAAAACGAAATGGTTTCATATTGCCAAGTGGATGTTCCAGATCCCATCTTAGGCTCCACATACAGCAGCTTTTTTAGGGTTCACACAAATAATTTAAAAATATACCGAAATAGGCTGTGCATAAATGATATGAGAACTAAAAACCAAACAGCCAAAAGTCAAAGACCTATGCGTTGAAGGATTCTATTTGCCTGCTCGACCAGCCAATATCCTATTTAATGTGCCATATAAAAGCGCTTAACAGTTATATGCCAACTGTAATCAACTTATATAATAATAATACTCTCAGCAAGAGCTATGGATTTCCATTGAGTACCCTTCACATATAGCACCCTTTTTTTGCCACGCCCAGCCTAGTCAGAGCTCCGTCGCCTGGACAACGTAATAAACAACTTACAGATGCACCCGCTGCCTTCTTGCCCTGAAGCAGGCCTAGAAACACACCTTTTCTCCACCTTAATCCAATAAAAAAAAAAAGAGGAACAACAATAAGTAGGCTTCAAAATCGATTTCAGTTTTGGACAGCTTTTAGACAAGACAGTTCATAACATATTTATTATTTAAACAAACATTGAGCTGTGAATACGAAAAAGCTCTTTGCAAATAATAAAAGAAAGTAACTTTTTAAATAGTAAAGTAAACAAAAGCGTGCAATGTCGCTTTTTGACAATCCCGACCAGCTGCGACAGCTGCAAAATTTGTTAAACCCGAGTCGGAGACGAGGTGGAATCGAATGCAGCAGCAGCAGCGAGGATGAGGAGGAATCTCTGGTGGTAAATAAGCAGAGTGAGTAAATGGTAGCCGGAGTACAGCAGTATCGCAGTATCTGAGAGGATTCATATTTAATATTCAATCAGCACCTGGGAGCATTGGGCCCCAGGCAGCTGGTGCTGATGCTTCCAAGGCCCGCGGCAAGAAAAAGGTTAACCTGGTGGCAACGCCGTTGGAGGAACCTCCTAAACCGCAGCCCAGCACGCTTGAGGAATGGCAGGAAGCGCAGGAGCGAGAGGACGCAGACACTTTGGAAACGCGCAAGTACCCAGAATACACGATGACCTATCGCCAGGCCGTTGGCACTGAGGATGTCTTCCTGCAGGTTGGCACGCACCCCTGCGCCATGCTCAGCCACGTTAAGCTATATTCCTTTTACATTTAGATGGGCCAACGCACAGCAGCCTCGGCGAGCTGTGAGGATCTTGTACTCGACATATCCCTGCCCGATGAGCAAATGACTGCCGATAAAATGAGCTTAAAACTGCAGGAAAAGGAACTGGACCTAGGCACCACTCTATACAGGCTCAAGCTGCCGCTGCCTAACGCCGTGGATGTGGATCGGTGCCAAGCCAAATACGACAAGGAACTGTGCAAGCTGCGACTTACGCTGCGTTTGCGCAGGGAGCTAGACTATGTCAATTTTTGAACCCTACACTATTGCTACTTCGCCTAAAACATGCCTTACACTTCTTGTACACTACATTGACATTGTGACATTGTTTTGCTTGTGCACACCAACCTGACACACATACACCAAATTTGTAGTATTTCTTTAATTCGGACGCGGATACAAAATTTAAGTACGATAAAAGTGACCCACTTGTGTGGGATAAGTAATATAGTTTTATTACTTTGATTGGCGAGTCCATCAAATTGGATCGAATAGTTGACTGAATGCATGCCTGGCTTAAGCTGCAAAAAACAATTACAATGAAAGCAGCAAAAGGAGCAAAATGACTTTTGCTTTGTTGCCAAGCAGGCGGCACACCTGGCAGATAGCTAAAGTGGCAACAGCTTTCAGATAGAAATCCATTCAGATATAATTAAAAGCTTCAATTGAGTTGAAGATGAGTGCAGTTATTAAACGCCCAAGGCTCATAACACATGCCAAATTGCGCATACGCCGCATTGACCCACAGTAGAAACGAAATATTAAATATGTCTTCGTTTGAAATTTAAGTAAAGAGCACTAAGTAGGTGCATGCCCTGGTGTCAAAAATCACTTGAGCTTAATATTTGCCAAATGCGGACAACATGCAACGGACAAATGTCAAATATAAAATTAACATCTTTCGAAATAGAAAAAAAAACAGACGAATGTAATCGGCATGGCGATACCCTGTACCCACACTCAACTCAAAAGTCATGTAGCTTATACCTTTTACCTAGGACCCTGTCATATCAGGACAAAGTCAAGCCAGTCTTGTAAATAATGTGAAGTTCTATTGTTCCCAAGTATTCCAAGCCTTGCAATAATGCCATATATGTATTTATTTTTATTTTAGTGAAAGCAAGCTCTGACTAGGCGATTCCTTGTACCGAGCTCAGAGCTTGGCATCGGTCTTTCGTTTCTATCATACCCAAGCTTACGCATGTTGTGAGCACAGGGTAACATAATCAAAAGCGGCCATTCTTTTGTACATTTTTTGTTGGAGATTTGTTCAACATAATACATCGAGCTGGAGTGAGAGAGAGAGAGAGACGAGGGAAAAGAGCTGCGACCCGCTGTGGCTGCGGCTTGGTTGTGCCTCATTTACTCTCGACTGCCGCGGACACATTTCAATTTGTGAAAGGCGGTCAGCGACAGCACTGAGACATGATAAAGTGTCGTCGTCCAGGCAGTTGCCGAAAAAAGTTCACACAATTTGACATAGAAATTCGCCGGCAAAGAATGATAAAGGCACAACTTTTGCGCCAGACGAAGAAGCGCGTGCAACGCGTTGCAAGTAGTTGTGTGCTTAAGAGCTTGGACAGTGGATTTTTGTTTTTTAATCATTTGGTCAACGAAAAGTTTTTCGGCCGTTGATAATAATAAATCATCAAAAGGCGGCGTCGACGCTGACGGCATGCGACAACTTTTTGGGCTTGAACAAATTAAATTAAAATTTAATTCAATTTAATGACCACGAAATAAGCTGTCAGCTGAGTGTGTGTGTCTGTGCCAGAAATTCTGTTAAAGAATATTAATAACCACTTAGATAAGTTTTGTGTGCCATAAATATGGCTATAAATATATCAAATTAAACACATTAAAAACTAGTAGGATGTAAAACTTTAATTATTTCCTCAAAACAAAAGGCTGTTGAAGAATGGAGAAGCAAAGGCTGCTGAAGAAGTGATTCTCCCTACTTCCCTTTCTCTATTTTTGAACAACTTACATGCGTTCAATCAAGTTTGTCATCTGAGCCGAAACATGGCCGGAAACTGCGCAGGCTGTGAGGAAAAACGTATCATTTGCAAAAGTAAAAACAAACAAAAATAGCTGCGTTGACACTAGACTTGGAAGAGCAAACTATGGTTTTTGTTTGGGACAAAATGCTAAAAAAAAAAAAAAAACTAACGCAAATTTGCCACAGAAAATATGCATATAACATTTTTACTATTTAGGCACCTAAAATGGGTCTTTAAATATTTTAGTAAAATGCGTAACACTTCATTTGACTGCACTCAGTACAAATATAAAATTGTTATTATATTATAAATAATATATTGTGAGTCGTTGTAATAGTTCACAATCATAAAATAATTGCCTGATAGCTTGAAATGTTATTCAACTAGTTACTTCTTATATTTAATATGTATTTATTTGTTTTAATCAATTTGCTCTTATCTACCAACTTTTAAAAGAGTGAGGATCAGTTTAACAATAGTTAAAGTAGCTTAGTTTAGATATGTACAGGATGCAGATTGTATATTTTGTAGTTTATGTTCAAGTTGTTTAGTTTAGTCTAGGTTAAGTGTGCATTTATATATTTTTTTTATAAGAATATGTACTACTACTACCACAGATAACACTTAATTTGTTAGGGGATTTCATCGTCAACATGCGGAATATAACATTTCTGTTTTGATTTTTGTTGTCTTTGTTTTTTCTGCTCATTTCCACAAACGCAGTTTTAGTCATAATCATCATCGTCATCATCATCATGGGCCTCCTTTATGTGCTCATGGCAAACACTAAATAGTGGAGCTGGCTTTTTTGTTGGGTCACACCCCTTTTTTTATCAACTCTTGGAAAAGTTGCATCAACTCAAACGAAAATTCCCATGGAAATTCGCAATGTGTCTCCCATGTGCAATGCCAACTTTTGTGGTGTGTATAAATTTGCTTGCTGAAAAAGAAATAAATAGATGACAAAAACTTTTGCCAGTGGAAAACTTTTGGAAAATGTGTGAAAACTGCTCGCTGTAAGTTGTGTATGCGTTTGTGTGCGTACACTTCTTAAAACTGAAAAATATTTATGGCTGATTAAAAGAGGCAGTTGCCGGATGCTGAGCGACCTTGCTTACCTTCTGAAGTACAGGCTATTGTTGTTGCTGTTGTTTTACCACGATAAATAAATAATATGCAGGTGCACTTAAAAAATGTAATAAGCCACGCAACAGCAACAACAACAGACAGCAGAGGAACGACAACAGATTTTAATTGTGAAAGCTCAGCCGCTAACAAAGGTCGTGCCAAACCGTATCCGGCCCGTCGTTGCTCGACTTTTATTCATTTCATTTCAAAGCCCAGACTCAGGAGTCAGGAGTGGGGCAACATCCACTTAACCTGCAAAACGGGCGAACAGCTCTGAAGAACTCAGCCTGAAGAACTCAAAGCAGGTGCGAAATGAGCAGCAGCCACAAATGAGGGCAACAAAACAAGGGGGCTGCAAATAACTTCAATATGAAATGTGTTGGAAAAATGCAAGTCAGTTGAGTGAATGTTGAAGAGCTGCCTCAACTGAGCTGTGGCACTCGTCGCTTTAGGCCACAAAAATAAATGGCCGGCTTCCTCTACTCGCAGAGCCTTTCGAGCTAAACAGATTCTTGCATCTATGTATCTGAGAAACATGTTCTTTATGTGCACTGTAACCGAACAATAAAGGGATCTTTATGAGTATATGTGAGATTATCTCATGAGATATCTGGAAAAATTTTTTATCCCTAACGTTCTGTACACCCCACAGCTGGTTATATTTTATATATTGTCGGATAAAATCAAATAAGACTTGCAAATAAGAGACAATAGAAAATCGTAATATGCTTACGAATATAAATTACTGCGCTTTCCAGCTACTTGTCACTGTCGGAAAAGCCAATTAAAGGCTTCATTTCACCTAGCAGAAAAACAGAACGGTCGGAAGATAAGCTGACTTATATATTTTATTTTATGTAATGAAACGTGGCGGCAAATTGGTCAGATGCAAATTTTTGCAAGCGACTTTCAGTAATATAATAAAGTTGCATTTTTTTTTAAAGTCCAGAGAAAACATTTTCATGTCGAAACTTTTTGAGGTTTTAAATGAAAGGACGAATGTCGAAAACAGATCCTGCCTTAAATAGGTATTTAAAATGAATTTGATAGAGAACATTTTACAGAACTATTAAGATTATTTATACATATAATTTTTCATTATCATTTCGTCGTGCATGCATACAGATGTATTTAATTGGTAGCCCGATTCGTATCCGTGACATTCTGTTTAAGAATATATGTATTTTTGTGTTTCGGCTGGCTTGTAATATAAAGGATAGAAGCTGCGTACAAGAATTGCGACTGTGGGGTTTTATATACAATTTAGCAAATTCACAATTGGATCTAAGAAATTAAGTGTGGCGAGAAATTTATAAAATGGTGCATACGCAATTCAACAGTATGTAATTCACATGTGCCATATGCCATGCTACAAAGAAAATAGGAACATTGTGGAATTTAATTAAAGCTTCCTTCTGCCTTTTGCAGCCTAGAAGCTAGTGGGTCTATTAACGCATTTTTCAAGTTTAATTTAACGTAATAACAAATTTCTGAGCTCTAGCGGCAGGATGTACAAACATTCACAGAGACTGGCACTCAGACAGCCGTATAAATTACGGAAGAGTCTGAGAAGCAGCTGGCTAAAAGCAAGCCAAATGCCGGGAAACTTAGGCACAAGCAGGCGGCATGTGTTGTCCATATGTATGCCGCCAGTTTCTAGTGCCTTATATAAGACACACACAGGGCCTTGGGTTTCGTTCTCAAGTGGCAGCCGCGTTGGCAGCCCCTGCCCCATAATTAAGACAAATGTAAAAACTACTAAAAGACATGCCAAAAGTCACTTTCACTTACCAAACAAAAGGCGAACAGCCAGCCTGGTGCCAGCTGCCAGCTGCCAGGTGCCAGGTGCCAGGTGCCAGTTATATTTACCTCTTGTTTCGTTATAAGTCAACATAATTTCACGTTACTTTCCCGCTTTTACCCCTCTGTCGACACGGCATTTTTGTTTACCATTGTGATAATGTCACGTGTGAAGACTCGACCAACAACATTTCAGACACACAAGCGAGAAGGAAACGTTTCCTTTAGAGTGTCGAAGATTAAATACCTCTGCGGACATGTAGATTAAAGTATAAAGGTTGTTTCTAGTAAGCTTTATAATAGGTGTTAAAAAGAAAAACAAGAAGCTCACGTCTCTATCATCAGATGTCGATGCCAATTGTCATACCAAACATACTTTTAACAGAAAAGTAATCATAATATATTTTCTCAAATGTCCCAACTACGAATACTGCTTTATCCAAATATGCAGTCCTGGATTCTGGGGTACCTTCTGTTAACGCTTAGCTATACTTATACCCAATCGACGCCATTTTGCACGCGCAGGGTATATAAAAAGCCAAGGTCAATGTCCAATCCACAGTGAGTGGCCCTCGTTAAATGTTCGCATGACCTTTTCGCATTAATCTCAAGAGATGGCATTTTAATGCAGCCATGTGTGGGCGTGCTATGCTCGTTATAAGCCAAGTAGTTATTATTGTTATTTATTGTGCTGGAACTATACAGCTGTTCAGGCCACATATCACGACTGCTGATTTTCCCGCATTCAATTAGATCGTCAATCAAACGACAAATTGTGGGCTTTTAATTGTAATTGATTGACTGGGAGTTGGTGAGCAGTGAGTAACACAGTTACAGTTTTCCTTTAGTGTTAATTTAATAAATTAGGTTGACATAAATATAAAATGAGATGTAACTGGATAGAAAGAATGCAAGCTTAAAGTTTAAGTTTAATTAAGCTAACAAGAAAACATGCAAAATTAGCAACAGGCAGGACCTACAGTAGTGTAGTAAGCACCTCCAAACCGATTTATTTTCAATGACATTTTATATTTACTTATCTATTTACAATTAATCTCTTTTTCAATCCAAAATGAGAATGCATAAACTGCATAATTTATGCAAACTCTACCCACAACTCTCCGATGCACACAAAAATATGTTGCCTACTTATCAGCGCATTGAGATTTCGCTAAATAAAAAATTAAAGCATAAATTGAAATCGATTTCGTGTCGTTTCTGACAGCTACTTTTTTAAAAAAATATAATAAATTCAATTTATTTGAAAAATTAATAAATATTTTTTTTACATGTACAAAATGCATAAGAAGTCTTAGATTTTATACATTCTGGTTGGTGACCGGCCAGTAACTCATTCAGGCATATACATTTAGTTAATATTATAATTAATGCCTACAATCTACGTTTGCCGAGAAGTTCTACAATTTGGCTTGAAGTTTGATCACAAAGCAATGTAACTCATAAAGAGTTTGCTATTCGTACTCAATTCTTGGCAAGAATGGCAATGAAAGTGGATAAAGCCATAAATATTTGTCTACCAGTTTGAGTGAGCTCTGTTTAAAAGAAGCTTTTATGAAACTGGCCACAGATGCATTTTTTTGAGTACACATTGGGATCAGATGACTATATAATGCACGAAAACAATTTATACATAACAGATTGCAGATTTACTACTTTATTTCTTTTGGATGCAGATGTGCTGGGCTTCAAGTTCACCCGACGAACAAAAAAACTCAAGTAACCGGTTGCTGTCGTGTGTAACCGACTTAGCAATACTCTGTTATATCCATTAAATCATTAGAAACAGTATTCTTGTAACTTTGACGACGAAACAAGGATAAGAAATATCGATTTTTGCAAGTTGGCGACTAAATATCGAAGATTATGTGGGTTTTCAAAAAGAGGACAAGCCAGTATACTGGTTTTTACTTTGAGAATTGAGTATAAAAATGTACGAGCATGCGGCATATAGACAAAAGGCAAGCCGACAGCAAACATGCATTGAAACTGTTTTTCAAATAGCACGAACGAGGAGATGAATGCTGCATTTCCGCTTTTCGCTTTTTGGTCTTTGTCTTTTGCGGCGCTGGCGCCTTCTGTGTTGCCTCATGGCACCCACTTCTCCTATCGGCCCACCCCGCCCATGCACAGCGAGAACTTATAGAATTTGATTTCGTTTGCTTCACTCGTGGCGAAACTTCAGGCTGCTTTCCTCAATCCACTTTCAGAGATTTATTTGCCTGCCTGGCCCATTGGATCAATTACCCGCTGACTGTGCGGATGAGGATGTGGATGAGTGTGTATGTGTGGGTGTGTGTGTGTATTAAAATGGCCTTTAATTGATTTCACATAAATTTATGAGTCTTTTGTATCGCACATACTATGTATTCATCAGATGCAATTTGCTGAATGAGTTTCTTGAGTTTTGTTCTGTTGGTCGGGAACACTATCTTTCTAGGCAGGCTCTGCCTTTTGTGCTTTTTGATAGCTGTCAATGCAAGTATTTTCTGAGCGGATTCTCAGTCAAATCGGCATTTTTATAGCGTCAATATCTGTTTAGCTGTAAAAGTTTTTTGTATACAAGTAAATAAGTATCAAATTTGTACATTTTAATAAAACGAAATGTCTGAGGAGCTCATTGAACCTATCCCCGTGCCATCTGTGGACACGGATAGTGAAGAAACTGAATCGTACTGGGATGCAACGGAAACTGAAATTGTGGCGAACAGCGAAAGGGAGCATCATCTGCCGACCACCAGCACTTCAGGAGATGGCGACGCAGCTGATGTTGGTGCTGACGGCGACGGTATTGACGTCGGTATCGACAACGGAGATGGCTATGATGATGGCGACGCTGATGGTGGCGGTGATACTGACCTTGTATTTTCAAGCTCAATAGATATGCCAGAGTATCGGGACAAGCTGAAGGTCATACACGATCGAATCACGCGCATTGTGAACCGCATTAGTTTCCTAACCCAAAGTCTCAAGCAGGTGCATCAGGGCCTCAAGAACTACACGAACGAAAGAGCCGAAGAGCAGTCACTGCCAAATATTGAATCTAAGAAGGCTATGGGCGATAATGGGTCCACTCAAACAGATCCACTTATAAAGCCGGAGCTCAACATGCTTGCGGAGCGTACTGGCGACTCTGTGGCCTGCCAGACCATCGAGGATAATCCGTTCGCTGACTAGGAAGCCCAATCAAATTTTGGATTTGTTACTTGTTTGGTCTTTATTTGTTTGTTTTAGTTCTTTTTTATCCAGGAAGTTTTAAAAATTATTTAAATTACGTTGGTAACGATAGTTTTAAGCACACGGAAGAACAGGACAATTTAACTGTCTTACATATTTTGAACAATTACAACTAAATTTGCTGTAAAGTAATAAAAATTCAACCTGAAGAGGAACACAAAATATCTTGGAGAGTTTTCTATTATCAGCCCTTGTCAAATATTTTTGTAACTTGCAAGAAAAAAATCGACAATTAAAAGCCGGAAATAGAACATTTTAAATTTTAAATATAAGTCAAATTCAATCAGGTTCTCTCGACTCACAGATTTTTCATTGAGCAGCCAATAAAACTTCTGCAAGCCATTGCCAACCGCTGTAGATTTTCATGGGCATTTGGTGGGGAAACTTTGGCCAACCAACTAACAAATAAGTCAAAATTGCTTCAAAGTTTGCATTTGCCTTTGCCAAATTTCTTCTCAGGGCAAAGAACTTTATGTTCAGCTGACCGCCATTTTTGACTATGCAAAAGCTTACACAGTCAACAATAGAAAACTGTTTAAGCTAAGAATAACTTAGACATCACATTCTTAATACAGTCAAAACGCAGCATGTCCAACCTACAGCTGTGAATAGCAGATTGATTTAAGCGTAAGAAAGGGCAGCACTCAAAGCTTTAAATTTAAGAAACTTAGTTCAGTTATTAAACCACCTATCGCAGTTTTCATCCATATATTATAAGACAAATACATACGTACATATATATGCATTTAAGATATAGGCCTTAGAGAAACTGTATGAGCTTGGGTAATTATTTTCGACATTATCCTAGACCTCATTTTAATTAATAAAATTATTAATTGCTGATGATCTTGCTTTAAGTAGCTTATGCACTGGTCTTGCTCCGAGGTAAATGCTGATCAAATGCTGACACTCGATTATTTCAACAGACAGACTTCCTAGCCGTGCCATTCATCTTTGGATAGATAGAAGACAGCAATAGTTCTGCGATTGTAGGGAAGCCATATGGCGTTTTACCACGTCCATGTTAGTTGCATACCTACCAGGCCAAATCAAGACAAAAGGCAAATCTACGGCCGAAAATATATTTGTATAGACAATCTAGAAAGCCCGTCTGTCTGTAGTTATTTTGAAAGTTTTATGGCAACCAGACTAAATTGAATGGAGCTATAATGGAACACAATTTAAAAGCCCTATGTCACAAGATACAAGCATATGTCATTTGCTGGCAGTTGTAAAAAGCCACTCGGCTCAGGACTCTGCTCAAAATATATCGACAACACATCAAACGCAAATCCAAAGTTCAAAGAAACTGTCTGGAACAGGAGGCAAAACTAATAACATTTCTGATAATCACACGCAGAGCACAAGCGAGAACCAGAACCAGAGAAGTGCGCATTCATGGAAAAATCAGTTCAATTGAAAACGAAAATTAAATCGAAATTGAAATCAAAATTGAAACTGAAGCAGAACCAGAACCAGAAACTGAATCTGATGCAAACGAATCACTGATAAGCGGAAACTCACTAAATGAGTTTCAGAATGAGCACAGGGAAGCCACCTACCTAAAGCTGCTTTGTCATTAGGCAAGTCCAGCTCATTGAGAGTGACTAAGTCGGATTAGAGAGACCTACCCTCCAGCTCTTCTCTTCTTAGTCTGCCGCTGCTGTTTATGGAAATCAGCCGCAAAATTCCTTTGTCGGATTTCGTACGAAATTAACATTTCAATCAAATCAATTTTATGTGTCTGACTTGTTTTATGCCTCAACAGCAATGTCATCATCATCGTCATCATCATTATTACTATTATTATTATCATCGACATTGTTGGTTGGAAATGTATCATTCAGTTCGTGTGCGTATTTGACGAGCCAAAAGAAATTGTCGAAATTGATTGATTAAATATTTATTCAGACGGAAGTCCTTACAGTATCCTAAGGGGCCAACATATTGAAGACTAAATTGTTTGCGAAATGGCAAACACATTTCTTCCGGCCTGATGCTGATGCGTCATTCAATTGGTTATCAAACAGGAGCTCATCCAAAAGCAACACATAATATATAGAAACAGTAAAGGTAATGTTGCAACCAGGTTAAATGTAAACAAAAAAACTTGTTGTGAATAAATTGACTTTTAATGAGACAACAAGCTTAACTCACGTATTCAGTGCAATCAAGTGAAACTGTAAAGTAGTGCAAACCAATTCAGCTCAAGATTAAGTAAAAAGAACGAGCAGATATCCTCAACCCAGCGCCAAAAAGCCGTAACAATAATTCCATCGAGCTCGGCGTTACAATCTAAAGTCCAATGAGTTCTTGCTCTGGTATTCACTGAAATGTCAGACCTTGCTTCAAAATCGATACTAATCGAAAAGAGATAAACTCGATTTAAACGAATATGCATATCAAATTTAAATTCTCCAGCTCTTGTCGTCTCTGAAATGGACGCCTTCTGACAGACAAATCAGATCAGGCAGACTGACATAGATGGTTCGACTCAGTACGCTAAAGAAGATTAAATCTAATGGAGTCCAATCTATTGAAATCTTTTTTTTTTACACATATACAATAGGTAGCAGGTATAACAAGAGCTAAAGAACTAGTCCAGTCGATTAGTTTGAATGTCACTTTGACTGCATATTTATTGATTCCCGCATAGCCTAAGGACCTGTTATCATTCAACTTCTGCTGCTTCGTCATTTGGTTTATCTATTCTGTAGACAAAAGCAGCACAAGCTTGTGGTATTGACTGGCACTGGAAGCTTGCAATAGACCCGCAGGAAATCTTAATTAAACAACTTGTAATGGCAAATCCTAAATGGCCAACAGACGGGAGAATGCTCTGCTCGGCCCGACAGGGCAAGCAGCGATGGCAAACAAAGGCAAATTTCTGTGTTGGTATTGAACAAACGCCAACATTTTGCTGCTGCAGCTGCGGCATACACAATGAGTGAGCATTAAGCGCCACAGATACAGACAGCTAACACTCACCCACACTCATCCACACACACCGACACACACACTCACATTCACACTGCACACGTGCAAAAAGGTTTGGCGGTTTTTAGCACATTTCCGCTCAGAGATTCAATAGGCGCTTCGGCCTTCCCTGGCGCTTCTCCCTTCCTTACTATTGTCTTTTGGCTTGGCTGGGCTGAAGCAGCCGCTCAATGGCCCTCAAGAAATTAGAAAATAAGAAGTATATCCGTTTTAAGTCCTTTTGACTGCAATCAAGTGTCTAACTGTTGAACTATTCGCTGGTACAACATTGTGTAAACTACTTTGTGTCCATTAAAGATCTTTAAGAGTTAAGTGCAATTCAATTAACGGAGCCGGGCCTTCCAATTCAGGAAGGAATATATCTATCTGTATATTGTGGCATTCAAATATAAATTAATTGTTTTCTCTACTCCGTAAATTGGAAACTTAGGTTCTTCGCACTTGTTTCAAGCTTGTGCGGTAATCATACATATTTTCTTTGATACAACAAACACATAATTAATTTGCCTATGGGTGTCCCCCAGCAATATTCGCATATTATGAATCAGCCAAGACTTAAAAAAGAGTAACCAGGGGCTTCATTAAATCATATGCCTGACGCATACGAAATACCTCATAAGATACTTACAGGAACTCCTTTGTAACTCTTTTAAAGAACCTCACTCGCATTCAATTGCTGCTACCCTTTGCGATAGTAAATTTAAAAGCCGGACTAAAAGAAAAGTTTATACATCCTGTAGCTATTAAAACTGGGTAAAAAGAGAACAACACAGTAAGGTAAATGCATTAGCTTGCATAGGCAGAAAATTCGACCGCATAAGAGAAAGCTGAAAGGGCTCTGCGCCAATCCGACTCTTAGGATTTCCGTCGAGCAGGTCCGTCTAAGACTTCAATAAGACTAGAGATTGCGAATTTAAAATGTTGTCGGTTTAACCCTAACTTTTGGCAACGGGACTTAACTGATATACCCTCGATATAAACACAAAGCGGACAGCTTATAATATGAGTGTTAAAGTTGTGTACAGGGTATCTACCAGTCAATAGCACTCCTTTGTTGTATTTTATTTTTGCATCTGCATATCCCTCATAGCACCTACTCCATAGATACCACTTGAAATATGCAAAGTTCTGTTTTATGTCCTTGCCATTGCTGGCCAGTTTGCTAGCCTGTTAGGATCCTAGCCTTGGCTAGTTGTTGCTTAAGGAGAATTTTGTTTTTGTTTTAAGGGGGGCAAAGTAAAAAATTCAAAATGAGGCAACTTGAGAATGTTGTTCGAAAGTTACGTCTCGGTCCTTTGGCCATTTTTGCATTCATATTATCTCAAGTTTGCGCTGGCGCTTGCTCATGTTTTGCCTCATATTTCATGCCATGCTTCTATTTGTTTTCCCGTCCGTAAACATGTAGCCCAGTTGTTGCTCTTGCTTTTGTCGTCATCATCATTATCATGATCACTGCCAGAACATGAAAAACATGTCGCGAATATGTATGTCTCCTGTTTGCATGCTTGCTGTCACTTAGGACAGCGATGCGAGAAAAACTTTGCGTGATTTTAATGCCAAGTCAAATGAGTTTTTGGTAAGTTTGGCAAAGTTTACCCGTGTTTAATGGTGACAGTAATTTTTAATAAAAGCTAAAAAGTGGCACAATACGATTCACTGGTCTTTAAAGGGAGGTGAACAGAAGAAGAAGAAGAAAAAAAAACTGAAATCTAAATAATAACTCTCAACGACAAAGGGTCATTTGTATTGTTTGCTTTCCGAGCATCGGCACATCGATATAATCCCGTAGCCGCCACGTCTTTTTGGAGCTACCCCGTTTCGGGGTCTTGGTATTATAGTGCTTGCATATGAATGTCTTTGAACCACGCGCGTCTCGCAGCATGCGATGCTGCACTGGCTCCTGCCGCATGCTGCAGTCCGTTATGCGCTGCGTATGGGCCGTAGCAGTCTCCAGGTCGCGACGCACCCTGATTGCCTTGCTCGTGAGATCGACAAAGATGTAGTTAAGCTCATGCGAGGTGCGCCCCTCCACCTTGTTGGTGCCATCGCTGACCAAGCTGAACGTGGACAGCGACGTGTTGGATGATCTGACCAAACTAATTGCCGACAATGATGAGTTCTCCCCTACTATATCCGAACGTATTGGTTTGGTAACAGTTCTCTCGCGATCCGGTTCATTGTATCTGTGATCCAAACGTTGCACAATATTGACACAAGTGCGCAGATCGCTCTGTATGAGCTTGCACAGTTCCAGCGCCCGATCGAGTTCTCGATCTTCGGTTTGGATCATTCTAAATGAATGTTTGTGTGTGTTTTGGTTTATTTTTAAGACGTGTATCACACGAAACAATTTCGAATGTCGTTTAAAAAAAATTTCAAGGCGAACTACATGAATTTCGTATTGTAACTATGCTATACAATGTATATTATCAAATACTTACACATTCCGAAATAATCAACTGACAGCAATGTAGCTTGTATACTTTTTCGGCGCTAAACAAAGATTTTAACTTTCCTCACCCAAGCGAAATATTTCAACTGAATTCAAATTTTGTGTGTTTCGTAATGTAACATGTATCATACATTTATACTCGTCGACATAAGTATTTTGACATGCCTGCCACATATATATTTTTCATTTGTTTTTCGATAGTAAGCAGAATTTTGTATTTTACTAGAAAACAAAACCATCTGCTTGATACGCTGAAGAAAGAATAACGAATTCAAATAAATAATTAATACCTGCCGATTTCATAAACCTGGACGCTTCTACAAGAATGGATAGATATAAACTCTTTATCCTTCAAAGAAATAAATTTTATATTTGTTTAAAATGAAGTGATTTGAATAAGGAATTGGGAAATTGTTGGGGAGTAAGATTTGATTCGTAAACCTGATTCTCCACAGCCATAAGCCCAGTTTTTGAATATACCTTCAGGTCTGTATTGTTAGGTTTGTATACTTTTACGTAAGCTATACTCTCTCTATATACACTACCTCCCTCTCTCTCCCCATCTCTATCTATCCAATAAAACGCAAACATGAGTTTTGTAAATCTCCGAGCGACGTTTACTCATTAGTAACTGCGGGTTGGCGTTGACCTCAGGCACGTGTAATAGATACCTGAATGGGGAACTGACTCTGCGATTGTGCGTCTGCTCCTGAGGGCGGGCAACCTCAAATAGAAAGCAATTTCAGCATCGCAAACATCGCACCAAAAGGGAAAGCACAAAAATTAAATTGCCAGTGCAACGTTAAAAGTGAAAAGTGAATCAAAAGTAAATCGTGGGAAACCAAAACCGAAAAATATAAAAGATGCGATGTACATATATACACCCACATATATATATATAAGTATAAGTTAAAAGGCGGCTTTGCGTGCTTGTATATACATATGTATACTGCATATGCATGCGGAGCTATATTTTTAGTTTTCATTTATATATCTTTAACATACTAGGCATAACTTAAAATTTTGATAAGAAAGCATGCACTTATGATTTCTCCTTAAGCGGGATAAAATCTGCAACCGTAAATGTCCGCTCCAGAGAGATTCTACTGTACATTCTTGATCATCAACAGGCAAGTTGATCTAGCGTGAGTTGAGCATCAGGTGCAAAATGTGCCAGTCCAAGAAATTTTCCCGAACTTTGAAGTTGTTTACGCAGCGCTCAAACTTTGCGCTTACCTCAAGAATGCCACGCTGCGTGTGCGTAATATGCGTGCAACCCATGTGCATGCCAGAGGCTACGTGTTGCGAAAATCAATGTGCCACCAGCTGCTTGCCACCAAACTGAAATCGAACTTGCCACAGAGCGCAAAGTGTTTGACTTGCGACAGGAAACGCGTTGCTGTTGGTGTCGCATTTGTTGTAGATACCTGTTTGTGGTGCAGCAGGTACAGGCGTTAGTTGCATAGTTAGTTAGTTGGCTTAAAGTTTTCAAGCAGTTGCACAGTCAAGCCAAATGACTTTTGGCTGCGTGCATAGCCAGTCGGGTAATGAGTAAAGTTTATGCAATCAGCCGCGGAATCACTCCGAATACCTCACATTTGTTGACTGCAACAATTTTTAATTAAATTTGCCTGCCCAACATCTAGCAATAAATATTGCTCTTCAAGTTTAATAAAAATGCTTCACTCAAATGAATGCACAAGCAAAAGAAAAAAGTTCTGCTCATACCCATGTGGAGGGTATTGTAATTTTGCCACGAAATGTGCAAAGCAGCCGACTCTAGTTACTCTCTAGGGCTTACAGCTAATATTTCGACAAATATGAATATATCGAAATCAGCCGAATCAGTTCACTATTTTATATAGCCGCCATATGAACGATCTGTGGAAATTAAGTTCTTCCAAAGAAAGCTCTTGTATATTAACAACTCGACCAAACGTAGCTTCTTATATGTGAGGGAAATATTATCGACAATGGTCTACTATATCATTTATTGGGAAATCGATCAAAAAGTGGGACTTGATATACAAAATCGGAAGTTTCTTCAAGATATTACGAGTCTCACGCTTCTTATCGATATCTCTACAAGGGTATTAGATTTTTGCCATGCCGATAGTTATTCTTGCCCATTTTCTTTGTAAGTCAAGCGTGAAAAATGAAAAGCTTTTCATTATTATTTTCCTATTTAATGTTCAATGGTAAAGTTACTTTGCACACAAAGTTATAAAGTTATTCATTAATATGCCATTTATATCTGCTGCCTGCCAAAGCGGCATCAACACATAAGATTGATCGAACGGAGATTTCAGCAATAAAAACACAAACTGAAACAGGATTATCATGTTATTATTTTAAGTTATATTCATTCAGTTAGGTGCACGCATTCTGAATTAATGAACTCTCATGTGCTTTAAACCTGTTCACAAATATGAATTAAAGATAAATCTAACGTTAAATACAAAGAATTGGAAATTAGTGAAAACTATATTTATTGTACTTTTTATTTTTGATTATTTCACTTACTTTTTGCGTACTTTATAATTAATTTAATCATGAGAGTAACTTAAACTTTGAGTTCTTGCCTCATAATTGATTTTCCCTGTGTGCTGATAGGAAAATGCATTAGGGAAATTGCCAGGCTTAAAACTATCGATTTAATAGTCCATCAATTGACAGCATCCACTTAAGCCCCGTAACTAAGCGAATCGAAGTCAGAGGGCTTTAAGCCGATTTCGGCAAAGAGTGCTGCTCAATGGCGCTATTGTCAGCGCATTATCGGCTTACCATATGCATGAGTGCAGGCTCAAATACATATACATGCACAAACACACAGATGCATGCACACACACACACACACTCACAGGCACAAGCTGATGGCAACAACAAGTGCAGTCAAATATCGAATGAAGCTCTTTTTGCATTTTCACAAACATTTAGCTAGTCGTTTTTGTAAGCGACATTTATTTTAAAATCTCTGCCCACATATATTTACGCATGTATTATTGTACCCTGTGCAAATTGAAAATGGGTATAAAATATCATGTTTTTATATCTCAAGATATATCTAGAGATATCTATTTGTATATGTAGGCTGTCGTATAGTATACACAGTTGCCGAATATATCACTTTTAAATCCACACCCCCAACCCCCGCCTCTAAAAAACAAACAGCAGAAAGTTGAATATAAAACTCACTAGCACACATGTACCGCTTGGGATATGTATATCTTTGGGATTATGCCAAGTGTAAGCCTTGTACATGTGAGCAAAAAAGGGACTATTAACACTGAAATTATTCAAGAACGAATTTTTCCTGGTGTAGGAGTAAGACTAGAAGAAGCACAGCCACGACAGTAAGGGCGCAGCTTGTGGCGAGCGTGTGTATGTATATGTGTGTGTATGTATATGAGTATGTAAGTATATAGAAGAAACGTAGAGCGCTTATTATGGGGGCAATCCCGACTTGTTTATCTTTCTTTTAAATTTCCAGCAGGTAAATCAGTAGATTTCCGCTGCCTGCCATAATATATTAGACTAGATCTTGAGAGAAGTCCAAAAATAGTCAAGCTGCCAAATTTTGTACTCTAGATTAAATACTGTGGAAGATAAATAGCATGGGTATATATTTTCTTGCTTGAATAGAAGCAGACGGACGGACGGATGGCTTCACAAACGAATCTAAGGACAGCACGAAGGACTTAAGAAAATCAATGTTCTCTTTTTATACCCTGAACCCATTAAAAATGGGTATAGGGTATATTGTATTTGTGCAAAATCCAAAACCAAAACCCAATCCGACCCCATAAAGTATATATATTCTTGATCAGCACCAATAGCCAAGTCCGTCCGTCCGTCCGTCTGTCCGTATGTATGAACGCAATGTCAATGATGTCAGATCCTATAAGGGCTAGAGACTTGAAATTCTAAATTCTTCTATCTAGAATATATATATGCATTTGATGTTGGAAGAAAAGGGTTCAGGGTATCCCCTGATCGGGAGCTCCCGACTAGAACCTCATACTTGTTCATTTTGGGAACTATTTATAATTATATATAATAGCAACGACCTAGGTTATATTGTACTTCGCACCATAACAAATAAGTATCAGAAAAAGCTCTTTATCTGTTCAGAAATTTAAGCATTTTGTTTATAGCGAGCTTAAGCTTTACTTATCCCAAATGTAACATATAACCCGCAGGAATTTATGAACCAGTAAAGTTTTCATAAGCACACAGCATTCCTTTTACAAGCCGTTGCTCTACGGGGCATGGAACCTACAAGGGGCGGAGCCTTTAATAAATAATTAACCTTAAGCCGATTGTTTTTAACGAACGGCACATGAAGCCGACATTCAGACACAGGTTCAGACTCAGGCACATGCTCAGGCCGCAAATTTGAGAGTTAACAATTCTGTTTTTCGGGTTGTGCACATATTTGCACTTAATATTCGTCACACTGAAAAATGGTTGATTGATTGGGAAACGTAATCCAGTTAACTAAGTTGTCGCCTACCTTCGCTTAGGCAACAATTTTTGCTGCACTTCAGTGAATTTTGGGCTGAAGAGGCTTTAAAATTGATGTGTGTTTGAAAATGTGATTTATGAGGAACTAGGCAAAGTAACCCAACGAAGCGGGCATCCGCTTTGTGCGCTTTTCATTATGCGACAACAATTTTCTGGCACAAAATTGATGATTTTGGGTCAAGGTGGAAAATCTTAAATATTGATGGGGTAAACTGATGTTATTATCAAGCCAGAATTTGCATATTGCACTTTATCATATGCTATACATTATATTTAATTCGTTTGTGGCCTATGTGATGATTCTTTTCACTTAAAAATAAGTTAAGCAAAGCAGATCGAAGATTAAATACCCATCTAGTGCTTACAGCTTGTGCAGATATGTGAGTAAAATATTAAAGCTCATCGCTGACAAGTTAAACATCTTTAAAACAAGATGGTTTTTAATACAGTACCCGATTTTCAACTGATTATTGCTGTGGGGATCCAACTCCATGTATCTTAACAGAGAAAGAATTCCAAATACAAGGCAGTTTTCGACATATAATA